AGAGAGAGAGAGAGAGAGAGAGAGAGAGAGAGAGAGAGAGAGAGAGAGAGCTAGATTGTTGGGGTCCTTGGAAGGGTGAAAGGAACGATTTAATTGAGAAGTGGGGTCCACTGGAAATTTGGTGCGTCTTTAAATGTCTATTATACCCTTACTGCATGTAGAAAAGCTGATTGATTTTTGTACCATTAGATGATGAGATCTTGTGGCTAAAATTTATTCTCGTTTCTTTCATTGAACATCATTTTCACCGGAGCGCGACTCTCTCTCTCTCTCTCTCTCTATATATATATATATATATATATATATATATATATAATTACTAGCTAATATATTTAATAAAATCTATTTTTATTTCCCTTAAAAAGAAGTTACATTTTTCTAATTAATTAGTCACTAATCTGCTAAAACCGTTATACCTTATTATATATAATTTTATTATTTATTTTTTGGATCAGTTACTAAATTAATTCTAAATTTTGTAGCAAAATATTCAAATGTGTAACGGCTAATGTTGAAACTTAAAGTTGATTGACACATTCAGAGTTGTAACCGCTATGTTTGGTTGCATTGTTGGAAGAAAAATATGATTGTCACATATTTTTTTTTTCTAAAAATAAAAAAAACCAATAATTTTTTATTTATGTTAAGTTTTCTTAATATATGCCACAAATATATAAATTATTTTTTTCATTTTCTTAATGTAAACGTTGTATGGTTAAAATAAAATTTAAATCTCAAGTAATTTGGAATGATAAAAATTACTTGAGAAAAAGTAATAATTTTTATATAATAGAAGTACATGTCAAGTAACAAATAAAAACAAATGTGTTTTATATGGATCAAATACTAGTGGTATGATTTAAAGTGGGTACCTAACGGCAGAAGAATAACCCAGTTTTGTGGTAGGGTGGTTTATTTTTTATTTATTTTAAGAATAGGGAGTTAAAAAGAAAATTTATAAAGAGGTAGAGTGTGAGAAAGGATTTATTTTTAGAATAGGGACTGAAAAGAAGATAGAAAAAAGAGTAGGGACTTAATAAAAAGTTGGGTTAATTGCTAAATAAACCTTAACCTTTTTGTATTTGGTAATTTTATCACAATCATTGAGTAATTGTAATATAATCTCGACATCAATTTACTTATTGCAAATTTGGGTGCAGAGTGATTGATTTCAGGGATTTGTGGATCGATTTTGTGTCCAAATCTTCCATTGACACGAATTTTTATGTCATTCACGTAGCAAGTTGACAATTTCCATGTATTTAATGTATATCCACGCACAAAGCCGAAAATTCCACGTCAATGTAAGCTACCGGTGATGAGTCTCCTCCTAGATCTGGAGTGAACCGGTAAATATAAGCTCCGATCTGTTCGAACCGCCTTCAAATTGACCAGTTTTTTTAAGTTCCAACCGGTTTTAGGTTCGACTTGCAATAAGTAAATTGATGTCAGGATTATATTGCAATTACCCAAAGACTGATATAAAATTGCCAAACGCAAAAATGTTAAGGTTTATTTAACAATTACCCTAAAAAAGTTTACCTTGTTTACCTATTCATTCTTTCCTTCTGCTATTTTATTTATGCAGCGTGTTCTTTAGCCCTAGTTTTTCATTCTTCCCTTGTGCTATTTGAACTTGCATAATAGATTTAATTATTTTTTTCTTCTAAAATCAACAGAAAAAAAGAAGAAGAAGATTCAAGCATTATGGTGATCCGAGGTACTCTCATACTTTCTCCTTTTCCTTGTATTTATTTATAATTTGGTTTTTTTTATTAATTTAATAAAACACGCAAGAAAATATCACCCAATTATGTTGCTCTAATTAATCCCAGTCTTGTGATTCTTCAGGTCCCATTCATTCTCCAACTAATTTTATTAATCCTCTAATTAATTTGAATTAATTATCAGGTTTTAATTAATTTCCTGTAATATCTCAGCAGCTATTTGAATATACAGTAACTCAACATAATTAACATCAACCATTCGAATATTTGAATAGATTGCCACGCTTTCGTTTTTGGCTATAAGGGGTGTTTGTATAATTACGTTATTGTGTTTGTGTAATTACTTTGTTAAACTGTGTTGTGAGTGTATCCAACCCTTGTGTTTGTGTAATTACTTTGTTAAACGTGTTGTGAGTGTATCCAACCCAACAACGTCAACTTGCTTTTGATATTACAAAGCACAAATTAATGTACATTTTTATATATTTGTGATCAGGAAAGCAATAGCAGCAGCAGCAGTAACAGTAAAAGGGTGAGGACAAGGATTGAGGTCTCCGCTGCTAACAGCAATTTTGACAATGGACTCGGTAATTGAGAATTTGAGGTTTGCCGTAATATAACCAGTGTTATTAATGGCTGACGGCGGTACATGGCGTTTTGCCAAAATTCCGCCATTGCCGGCCGCCGTGGCGGTCTAGACGCCCCCCATAACCGCCATCATTCACAAGTTTTGCATAGCGGATTGTTAAAAATCCGCCACGCCATGGTGCCGCCATTTGATAACACTGTCAATTACATAATTAGATACTTTTAAATGATTGCTAATACTCATTTATCCACTTTCGAGCATCAGAAGTTTTGTTGTCCAATGTCAGTGAAGACCTATTGTCGGAGATCCTTCTTAGACTCCCGAATTGTCGATCTGCTATTCAGTTGAACTCTGTTTGTCGGCGTTGGCATTCATTGATCTCTCAACCCCAATTCATCCCTAGGTTCATCCGCCTCCATCAAGATCTAGATCAATCCTACACCATTCTTTTCCGCATGAATTATCGTTCTTTTCGTGACACCCCAGAATATTATCAATTGGTTTGCACTATTTTCTCGGAGGAATCTTTGATTATCCACGGAAAGCATGCATCATCTTCGTCTAACTACCTCGACTTCATGCCTTCACTCATGGTCGTAAGAGCATCGTGCAATGACTTGTTGCTCGTGTCCCCCGATACGTATTATTTTGATCCCCGTTTTCGCCAGCACCATCAGAGGTACTACATTTGTAACCCGGTGACTAAAAAGTGGTTTCTCATTCCTAGAGAAACCCCTCTTGGAACAAGGGCAGGGTTTGCATTAATATGCAATAAGAACTCTTACAAGGTGGTACTTCTCGACAAGTTTATTATGCGTGATGCAAAAGGAAAAGAGTATGTTGATGCATATAGACAAACAGTGTCGGTGTTTTGCTCCGAGTCAGGGCAATGGACCAAATCTTTCTTCTTGTTTCCTACTCGCCCAACAAGGGACTATACCATTATGACCAATCTTGTTTCGTGCAATGGGATTCTGTACTGGATGGACGGTTTATATAACCTCGACCGAATTATTTCTTTAGATCTGGCCAATAATCGGTTTGCCATCATCTACTTCCCAGACATTGTGCGTGACAACACCACCCGGGACACGCCCGACTCGAGGGTCCACATTGGTGTTGTGAGGGATGAGTTGAGGTTGTTGCATGTTTTGAGGGCTGCGCCGGGCCCGAAATGCTTCGTTGTGAGGGTTTGGGAATTGGACCGTAGGGACGACACGTGGGCATTGGTTGGCGAGAGGGACTTGAGCTTTCCGGATGTCGTCACTGCTGATGGTGACCGGGATACTGTGGTGGCGGCCGTTTTTCATCCGAAAAATTGTTATTCGATTTTTGTCATATGTGGAAAGAGCGTTTATGAGTGTGGGGTTTCGAATGACACGTGTCGCAGGCTCGGCGAGCTTCCGGAATCCGTAGGCGACGAGGGTCTCGCGTCCTTTGCTCTCTTGCATCCACCTTGGCCGGCCCCAATTCCATTTGGGGTTTAGTTGGGGAGCTTGTGTTTGATTTTGTTTTCATTCATTTTCCTTTTATCTTTGCTTATATTTTGTTTTATGTTTCAATCATATTGGGATGAATAAACTATATTATGAAAGTTGGAAGACTGGTTTAATTTTAAATTTGCGGGGTTATTTATTATGATTATGATATTATTTTTTTATTTTCGAAGTTTATTTATTATGAGTTGCTTTAACAACACATATATGTGTTGCTATTACTAAAGATGCTCCAATAATTATAGTCGGCCCAATTACTTGCCTCTTGGTTTTTTTATTTGGGTAAAAGTATACACAACATTTATTTTTATCTATTATTTTATAGGTAATATTTGTTAAGTTCTTTAAATTTTTTTTTTTTACAATTGTTATTTGGCTATAATTTCACATTGTATTATTTAGACAACTAAAATCATAACAAGTGTAAGTTTAATACATATTATAGTAACATAATACCGGTTTGGAAATTGTAGTGCACAATTTGACTTTATCTATTTAGTGCACAATTTGACTTTACCTATTTCATTATAGAACGTCGTCTGATGTGAGAAATGTACGCAATTAGTTATCACTAACAAGTGTAAGTTTAATACATATTATGGCTTGATGATTGCGGGTCTACAATATCTTGACCTACGACAGGATCTGTGGTGACATATTGTCACCCTTGATCCAGGTACAAGAGAGATGTTGAGGAGGTGTTATAGGCGAACAGGTGGCGGTGAGGCTAAGTTTGACGGGACTGATTTGATTGGCAACATGAAGCATCTTATGAACGCGGTAAATTCGCTACCCGAATTGACCGAGCGGAAGCAAGTGACTGACAAGCACACCAATACCGCAACTGCACTGCACTGCTGGGTGAGATTAAGGAGAGGTCGCTTGGTTTGTGTCTGACACCATGTAGACATCAAAATTTTAATATTTTATTAATTAATGTCTTTATTTATTTTTGGGACATAAATCCAAGATAAATAAGATATTTAATTAATAAAGTAATTGTTTCTTGCCCACCAAGTCAAATCTTAGGATAAGGAAAGAGATTATATCAAATCTTAGGAGAAGGAAAGAGATTATGTCAAATCCTGAAGGACCAATCAAATTGAAGTCTTCTTCTCCAAGACCTCTCTCTCCTACACCTATAAATAGGGCTCTCCTCAAACGCCAAACACCTCAAACACCTCAAAACAAATCTCAAAAATCAAAGTCTCAAATTCAAGCGCTCTCAAGAATCCTCTTGAAGATTTGAAGAAGTTCTTGAAGAACCGTCCGAGGTCCGTTCAATGAAGAAGAAGGCCAAGAAGAAGAAAAAGAGGCAGCGACTTTTCCTCAAGAAGTAAAGAGACGACTTTCACGCTTTTCAACTCCTCTCAAGAATATCAATGGCGTTCAAGCGACATTCAATCCACGTTCGTTGAGAAGTTCAACCAACATAGCGTTTGATCCGAGAAAAAACTGTCAAGTCCTCGAGTCAACGTTATTCAAGTCAAAGTCCCTCTTTCCAGAAGATCAAAGAAACAAGTTCTCCACGAAATTGTCTTCAATCAAGTCAAGGCCTAACATTTAATACACGGGAATAAGTCATTCGACCCCCAAATTAATGTTAGAGAAATTCAATACCAAGCCCGAAGGATATTCATTCGTCAAATCCATCTTTGAAGGTCTCAATCCCAAATTTATGAAGAGAAGAATCAGAGGAGATAAATAGAGATTGTACTCGCAATATCATTTGATCGAAATAAAATCAAGTTGTCCAAAAAGGTTTTATGTTTTTCATAAAATTTGTTGTTACAAATTTGGCACGCCCAGTGGGACCATCTCTACCTTTCATCTCTTCTCTCCAAATCAAGTTCGAAGATCTTTGAAGATGCATGAAGACCTCTTTGAAGACGATGTACAAGAAGACAACTAAGGATGATGTTTCTTCAAACCATGAAGCCTTCATTCGAATGGAGGAAACAAAAGTGGTGGTCTTTTATATTCTTCCTCAACTTCCATGGGGGCAATTTACATGAAAAGCTCCATAAAATCCTCAAAATTAAATGCTCCTTGATATGAGCCTAAACTATCTACATATTCAAATGCTCCTTGATACGAGCTTAAACTATCAACACATTCAAATGCTCCTTGATATGAGCCTAAACTATCTACATATTCCAATGCTCCTTGATACGAGCCTAAACTATCTACATATTCAAATGCTCCTTGATGCGAGCTTAAACTATCTACAATGCTCCTTGATACGAGCTTAAACTATCTACATATGCTCCATGATATGAACTTAAACTATCCACATATTCAAATGCTCCTTGATACGAGCCTAAACTATTTACATATTCGATGCTCCTTGATATGAGTCTAAACTATCTACATATATAATGCTCCTTGATATGAGCTTAAACTATCTACATATGCTCCTTGATACGAGCCTAAACTATCTACATGTTCAAATGCTCCTTGATATGAGCTTAAACTATCTACATATGCTCCTTGATATGAGCCTAAACTATCTATATGGCTCCTCGACACGAGCATATAGTGTCATCATATCAAGATCTCCTTGACACGAGAATAAAAGGTCTACAAATCAAACTTGAAGGCTCCTTGACACGAGCATAAAATGTCTTCATATCAAGATCTCCTTGACACGAGAATAAAAGGTCTACATATCAAACTTGAAGGCTCCTTGACACGAGCATAAAATGTCTGCATATTCAAATACTCCTTGACACGAGTTTAAACTATCTACAAATCAATCTTGAAGGCTCCTTGACACGAGCATAAAATGTCTACATATCAAGATCTCATTGACACGAGAATAAAAGGTCTACATATCAAGAACTCCTTGATACGAGTATAAACTATCTACAAATCAAGTCAAATGAAGAACTCCTTGACACGAGTTTAAACTATCTACAAATCAAGTCAAATGAAGAACTCCTTGATACGAGTATAAATTATCTACAAATCAAGTCAAATGAAGAACTGCTTGATAAGAGTTTAAACTATCTGCATGTCCAAACCAAATTCAAAATTTTGAGACTCATTCACTACCAAGACATTTTGTCCGTGAACAAGCCTCAAGGGGGCATTTGTAGACATCGAAATTTTAATAATTTATTAATTAATGTCTTTATTTATTTTGGGACATAAATCCAAGATAAATAAGATATTTAATTAATAAATTATTTATTTCTTGTCCACCAAGTCAAATCTTAGGATAAGGAAAGAGATTATATCAAATCTTAGGAGAATGAAAGAGATTATGTCAAATCATGAAGGACCAATCAAATTGAAGTCTTCTTCTCCAAGACCTCTCTCTCCTACACCTATAAATAGGGGCTCTCCTCAAACGACAAACACTTCAAACAACTCAAACACCTCAAACACCTCAAACACCTCAAAAATATCAAACACATCTCAAAGATTAAAGTCTCAAATTCAAGACCTCTCAAGAACCCTCTTGAAGATTTGAAGAAGCTCTTGAAGAACCGTCCGAAGTCCATTCAATGAAGAAGAAGGCCAAAAAGAAGAAAAAGAGGCGGCGACTCTTCCCCAAGAAGTAAAAAGACGACTTCAATTCCTCTCAAGAATATCAATGGCGTTCAAGCGACATTCAAGCCACGTTCATTGAGAAGTTCAACCAACATAGCGTTTGATCCGGGAAAAAGCTATCTAGCCCTCGAGTCAACGTTATTCAAGTCAAAATCCATCTTTTAAGAGGATCAAAGAATCAAGTCCTCCAAAAAGACTTCTTCAACCAAGTTAAGACCTAACATTTAATACAGGAATAAGTCATTCGACCCCTAAATTAATGTTAGAGAAATTCAAGACCAAGCCCCGAAGGAGATTCAATCGTCAAACCC